GGGGCGGCCACATGAGGGTATTTTTTCCTTCCTACATGAAAATTCTCACTCTATCAAACAACAACAAAAAGATCTATCTATCTTTGTTCTATTTCAAAACTGATAGCGGCCACTGTGGAATTCAAAGAATATAGCAAACGATGTACTTTCTAACAGCGCTCTTTAAAAAGAAGGAAAAAAAATCATGTGAATGGGAACTGAAGAGAATGGACAAACAGGGATGGGAGAAATCAGAAAAGTGAAAGAAAATGTAGAAAACTTGTATTCCATAACTTCCTTTTTTTCCTCTGATATCATTAATTCAGATCAACCAACTAATCAGACCTAAAAAGTCTCAAAGGGTTCCATTAATACATCTTTCTACCAACAGTTCTGTCACGTAAAGACTCAGAAATGTGAAGATACAGAACCAGCTTGTATTTAAGACAGTGTTTAATTGTTAACTTAAGCTGAAAGTGTATGTGTATACGTATAAACCAATGAACAAAATTTATGGATGTACACAAACATGTACTTGAAAATAAACCTGAATATAAACAAAAGGGGATCAACTGAACATCAGCTTGTGCAAAACACTTTTCCTGTGTAACATTTTGTATACTCTTACTTTTTCTTCTAAGGAACTGAACTTTTACTCTCCTATCTGCTCATTTCACATGGTTAAGAAGAGGGGAAAAATGGGAACATTACTCAGGAGCCATGGCTGGATAGAAGTAAGGGTAATAAAAGAATTTCTTGGATACAGACAATTAAGTAAATTATCATCTGCCTTTGCCTGTGCAGCTGTTTTTGCACTTTGCTTCCTCAGCCTATGAATTACCTTATATAGTAAGAGGAAGAAAATAAAGGCTGACATCTTAGAGGGAAAACAAGTAGTGTTCCTTAAAGACCATCCTACTCTGGTACGCAAGTGCAAGAGCAAAAAAGCCCATAACTAGCCAAACACAAGGCAAACTCTCACACAACTCTCACACTCTCGCACACTCTCACAAAAAAGCCCATAACTAGCCAAACACGAGGCAAACTCTCACACAAGGTTTTTTTGACAGACTTCACCAGATAAGAACACTCATCCAGAGTTTATCGATTCTCATAGTATTTACTGGTTTTGTCTAGGTACCTTAAAATATAGTGTTCTGCTACACAATAACAATCTTAAAACTTACATTTTTCACTGACTGCAATCATATTGGTTTGAATAAAATGCAACAAAAAGTGTTTAATACGCTTTTGACAGCCTGGTGCTCAAGAACCGTAAAAAATATATAATTAATACAACTAGAATACACTTCTAAAGATTTTTCTATAGAAAAATTTCAAAATACAAGAAAGAAAACTGTATTCTAGAAGTGAATTTGCTCTAACACAAACTAAAGGAATCTGCTGTTATCCCTGAGCTTAGCTGAGAAGAACCAAAGAGCATCCCCTGGATGACACTGAAGTCCAGAATGCTCCAGGCAACCACACATACAAAGAAAAAAATATTCTGACCTGATGGAGCAGGTCTTTTGATGTCCAAGACAACTGTTATTCTAGAATTCATTATTATCCTTTTTCTTTGCACATCTTTAGCTACAATACAATAAAATTTCTTCCTTAATAGCATCAAATAATTTACTGATAGTAACTACAACTATTTCTTTGTCTATATTTAATACCAATAAATACGCAAGAAGCATTTGATTTAAACTTGTTATCCAATATGAATTCAACATAGTGTACTACCTTACATAAGACAGTGAAAGTAACAATGGAAACACTTGATTACACTAGAGGTCTGTTTTCAAAAAGAATGAGTTAGCATGCAGCTGTTAGGAGTTATGCATTGCTTGATGCTGTAGACATCATCACTGAATTGCTATTCTTAAGTGTAAGACTTTTCATTCATAAATAAAAAACATGCACAACGAACTTTGAAACAACAGTTATACATACTATTACTCTAAGTGTTCAAATTTTTACACTGTTGGGGTGGAGGTTTGTTTTTTTTTTTTTTTTGAGTTTGAAATTTGATCAGTGTATGACTGAACCAGGACTGTCTGCCCCTACAGAGATTCACAAACTATAGATAAAATGAAACAAAACAACTTTTAAGATGTTAACAGAGATGCCTACTGATAGTTTATCAAGTATGCCTACAAATCATTCTAGCAGAAATGCAAAGCTGACATGCACATGCCCCTTTGCTGCAGCAAAAGGTACAGAAATGCAATAAAGCACCTGATTTGTCATTCACTGCTGAAGCATTTAATTAAAAACTCAAGTCTCTACACCTCAGTATTACAACAGTCTCAGTCTGTGACTGCAAGAAAGAGACATGCATTCAATCTCCACTACCAAAGTGATCACCTGTCTTCAAAGTATCAAATAATCATCTTGTACTTTCTTGGTTCTCATCCTTTAGGAGAAACTTTTCACTGTACAGCAGTAAGCTTTTGATATATCACATAAGAAATTAAAAAACGGGCACAAAATAACTAGAAATGATGACTAGAAAAGTTAAAACATTATTTCCAAACAGTGACTTCAAAACAGGAAAAGCTGCCATTTTAATGAAATTTGGACATTCTAAACTGAAATAAAACTAAATGAAATTATATTGCAACTTAAATAAATATGAAAGGATTATTCTTTTTCAAATATTTTTTCCTCAAAATTTCCACTTGAACATTTACATAC